GTGGTCCCTGAATGCCATGCATGTTCATCCAGGATTACTGGTACTCTCAAGGCAGGCCTTGATTGGTAGAGCCTGATGATTCCCAGGTTGTAAATACTCCCTCCATTGTTGAGGCCCAGCTAACAATGTGATATCACTGAATGTGGAGTTGGAAGAAGATGCACCCAAATAGCTCTTGCAAGCCTGTACTACAGACCACTGTCTTCATCCTCCACAACAGATAGAATGATGTCTTGCACATACCAGGCACACAATGGTGTGTGCTTACCAATGAATGGGCAGGATGAATTGACAGGGGGATAGGTTAGAGGCCTTGGCAGTAGCTTAAAGATGAGGAAGGGAGGCCACGGACAAACAGTGGAGCAATGGTACTAAAGAAAAAATATAAAAGACATTTTGAAGTTTTTGGTTAGAAATATTAGAATTAACATCTTGGATATAGAAGGTAAGAAAAAGTAGGTGTCAAAGAGTGATACTTCCAGCCAAGGTGGAGGCATAGGTAGACACACTTCGCCTCCCCACACAACCAAAAGAAGGAAACAACCAATTTAAAAACAAAAACAGCCAGAACTGCCAGAAAATCGAACTGTATGGAAGTCTGACAACCAAGGAGTAAAAGACGAAACATTCATCCAGACTTGTGCATCAAGACAAAGAAATACTGCCCAAATTAAAGAACAGATCAAAACTCCAGAAAAAGAACTAAGCAAAAAGGAGATAGCCAATCTTCAGATGCAGAGTTCAAAACACTGGTAATCAGGATGCTCACAAAAGTGATTGAGTACAACCACAAAATAAAAGAAGAAGAGAAGGCTATATAAAATGAAATAAAGCAAAATATACAGGGAACCAACAGTGAAGGGAAGAAAGCCAGGACTCAAATCAATGATTGGGAACAAAAGGAAGAAATAAACATTCAACCAGGACAGAGTGAAGAAACAAGAATACAAAAAAAATGAGAGGCCTAGGAACCTCTGGGACAACTTCAAATGTTCTAAAATACGAATCATAGGGGTACCAGAAGAAGAAGAGCAAGAAATTGAAAACTTACTTGAAAAAATAATGAAAGAAAACTTCCCCAATCCGGTGAAGGAAGTAGACATACAAGTCCAGGAAGCTCAGAGAGTCCCAAAGAGGAGCACACCAAGACACATCATAATTATATTACCCGAGATTAAAGATAAGGAGAGAATCTTAAAAGCAACAAGAGAAAAAGAGAGTTACCTACAAAGGAGTTCCCATAAGACTAGCTGATTTCTCAAAAGAAATCTTACAGGCAATAAGGGGCTGGAAAGAAGTATTCAAAGTCATGAAAGGCAAGGACCTACATCCAAGATTACTCTATCCAGCAAAGCTATCATTTAGAATGGAAGGGCAGATAAAGTGCTTCCCAGATAAGGTAAAATTAAAAGGAGTTCATCATCCTCCTTACCATGTGAAATGTTAAAGAGACTTTTCTAAGAAGAAGAAGATCAAAACTATGAACAGTGAAATGACAACAAACTCACAATCAGCAACTGAACCTAAAAAAACCCAAACAACCAGAACAGGAACAGAATCACAGAAATGGAGATCACATGGAGGATTATCAGTGGGGAGGGGTAAGGGGGATAATGGGGAAAAAGGTACAGGGAATAAGCAGCATAAATAGTAGGTACAAAATAGGGGGAGGTTAAGAATAGTATAGGGAATGGAGAAGCCAAAGAACTTACGTGTAGGACCCATGAACATGAACTAAATGGGAGGAATGCTGGAGAGAAGGAGGGTAAGAGGGGAGTGGGAGATACAGGGGAGAGAAGAATGGGACAACTGTAATAGCATGATCAATAAAATATATTTAAAAAAAAAAGTGATGGCAAATCTGAAGGTCTGAGAAGCTGGGATGATGACATTACTCAATTTGGGAAGCTTGAAATTTTTATTTTGAACATAGTGTAAACTAATAGACCTCTCTGTGGAGATATGCATAAACTATTGGAAGTATGAGTGGATTTCAAGGAGAAGACCAGGCTGACGATAAAACACTTGAATTCATTTGCTTGTTTTTATGTGAGAAAATATAGGAAAATTAAGAATAGAAATTAAAAGACCAGATGTTTTAAGTTTTTTATGTAAAAATGTTAAAATTATCTTTTAGCTTTTTAAAATTCATTTTAAAATTTTAAAAGTGATTCAAAATTCAGGAATGCTTATGCCAGTGATTTAAATAATTATGATAAAGAATGTCTGACATACATGTTTAAGTGAAATAAAGTAGCGTGTTTTTATATAATGGTTTCTTTTCCTAAAAAATGAACAAAATTTTTTCAAATTGTCGACAGATAAGGAGAAGATAGCCCTGGATGGTGTGGCTCAGTGGATTGAGTACCAGCCTGTAAATCAAAGGGTAACAGGTTCAATTCCCAGTCAGGGCACGTGCCTGGGTTGTGGGCCAGGTCCCCCTTTGGGGGTGTGTGAGAGGAAAAGATAGTTTCTATTTTACTGCCTTTAGAAGTATTTCCATTACTTTTTAAAATAAATTAATTGTGTTGTTGATATAACTGAAAAAATTAACCTAGTGCTAGGACAATTTGACAGACAAACAAATGAAACCTGACCTCTACCTCACACCATATTCAAAAGTCAATTCCAGGTGGATTGAAGCCTAAGCATGAAAGGCTAATGTAATGTAGGAAGATAACATAGGAAAACATCTTTATAATCCAGGAATAGGAAAGAAGTCTTAAACAGGACACACAAAGTGCTAACAATAAAGGAAAAGTTGATAGACTAGACTATATTAAAATGAAGAACACTTGTTCAAAGACATTATTATGAAGGCAAAGCACGAAGGAATATATTGGGTTAGCCAAAGAGTCTGTATGGGGAGTTTTTTCCCATAAAATAAAAGACTTTTTTTTTTCATTTTTACCAGTAATTTTATTGATTTGGATATTTTGAGTATGTTAGCTATCTCCCATGTGGTATAGCATTGATTGTTCTCAATGTCTTGATTTGATTGCCATCAACTTCAACTGGTCTACTCAACCATGGAGCATTGTCCAGAGAGAAATCTCCAGCACAAAACTTCACAAACCACTTTTGACACGTTTGATCAGTCACAGCACCTTCTCCATACACTGCACAAATCTTTTTGTGTAAGTTGTGTTTTTACCTTCCTTGAAATAACAAAGCATAATACACTGAAATGTTGCTTATTTTCTTCCATCTTCAATATTAAAATGACTACACAAAAATACACCAATTTTGATAAGTTTTTTAAATGCACGATGATGTGGCAGCTGCCATTTACAATCTAACAAAATTGTCTTGAATGACATTAAATACAGCTAAATACTACTAGAGCCATCTTACAGAAAAAACCCAAACTAACTTTTTGGCCAACCCAATATATACTGTACAGGGTAGAGCCAAAGTAGGTTTACAGTTGTGAGTATGTGAAACAGATTTTCTTCTTGCATTATTATTTATTAACTATTGTATTCCTTGCCATATGAACAACTTGTAAACCTACTTTTTCCTCACCCTATATATATGTAGTGGGAAAATACATTGAATATTTTCAATAAACAAAAGACTATCCAGAAGCAAAATGGGAAATACGTCTGAACAAACCTTTCACAAAAGAGGAAATCCACTTGGTCAATCAACACACAAAGGTGCCCAGCCCAGCAGGACACAGGGAAATGCAAATTCAAACCTCAATGCGATACCATAACTCATGTACCAGAAGTGGGGGGAAATGTGTCATTTTTATTCCGTTCAAGAGTTGTTGATGTGTGCACTTGTGCAGGAGGATTCTGGTGAAGAATGGTCGCAGCAGCACAATTTGTAACAGATAAACCTGCAAACAACCTAAATGTCCATTAGTAAGATGAATACTTAAAAACTGCAGTATGCAGTGAAAACCTCTACAGCGATGAGAGGAAACTACAGCCACCAAAACAACACAGGTTAATTTCACAACCTAGAGTTGAGCAAATGAAGACAAACGTGGAGAGGAGACAAGGAAGTGATTACCTTAAGAGTCAAGAAAGGAACCGTCTTTAGGAGGGCACAAAAGGCTGGCTGGCAGTGATTTTTTTTGGACCGAGCGGTGATTGCAACAGGTGTTCCCAGAGATACAAATTCTTGAACTTGCTCACCTGTGTTGTATACACATTTCTTAAATGTTAGACTCCACAACAAAAGGGTTTAAAATGAAAACGTCTGAAATGTTAAATCATTTAAAATATATGGCGCCTACCCCTTGAAAAGAGTATTCTTTTACAACTTTAAGGGCTTTGTAATGTAGAAATACATTTTAGTGGAAAACAAGATTTTTTTTTAAAAAGAGTGTTTCTCATTAGTAACTATGCCTCAATATTAAAAAGGGCTGATATTATGTATTCCTACCAGAAACTTTCCCATAATAATTCAAAGAGACATCATCTTCTGTCCCTACAAAAATTTTTTTATGAGCCATTTTAAAACTTAAAACACTTGAAGTTTGTTTGGGTTTAAGTGATTTGTTCCGGAAAACACATTAGGCTTTCAAGAAAGTGGGACTTACTTTGTTCTTTTACGTCGTTATTTTGGACACTCCATCCTCTCGGTATAAAGACAGTGCCCCTCATCGTTACTAAAGCTTCGGCTTACACCAGACCTCGCTGGGCTGCTGGTTAGATGGAGGGGTCCCTGCTTCAATCAAAGGAGGTCAAGGAGCAGCAGCTTCTCGGCTGGCTTGGCACCATCCAAGAACCTTCCTAAGCCCTCAGGGATGAGGTTCCGCCCACCTTTTTCCAGGTAACTCTACCATCGCTTTAACTCCTCCTGGCGCAAGTGGAGAACCCGAGACTCAGGAGCGACCTGCACCCCCTTGTCTGTAGAGCCAAGCTTCGGGGCGGGCCGGCTCCTGCCCCGCGCTGCCCACCGCGGGTGTCGCTCCCGGGCCGGCGCTGAGCCCCGGCGCCCCCGAGTGGAGGGAGAGGGCGGCGGGCGGGGCGGGGCGCGGTGACAGCGCGGAGCCGGGCCCGCCCCTGGCTTCCACCCCCGGAGCCCACAGCGTCCGCCTGCCCGCGGCCGCACGGGAGCTCGTTCAGCCCCAGGCTACGCTCGCCCGCCCGCGCCCGCGCCCGCGCCCGCGCCTGCGACTGCCCCTGCGGCTCTACGGCCCGGTAAGCCCCCCACCCGCCCAGGGGTCCCCCTCGCGCTCGCGGGGCTCCCTGCCCCCGCGCTGGGGCGCCAGCCATATCTGGGCAAAATATTCAGCTGTCGCCGCCGCCGCCGCCAAGAGGGACTGAGCGTGGTTCCCTCTATAAATAGCTGCCGCCCCGGGTTGCCGCCGGGCTGAGGAGCCCGGGTGTCGGGGTCCGGAGTGCGACGCTCTGGTCCGCGTCGCTCGGCTTCTCTCGGCGCGTGTGGCTTTGGCCGGGGCACCCTCCTCTCCGCACCTCAGCGCCAGCCCCATCGGTAAATGGGAGAGGAGAGCCGCGCCGGCGGCCGGGGCCGGGGGCCTCCCCTGCTGGGCTCCAGCTCGGCGGCGCTCCGCGCCCCGGCTGCTCCACTGGGTTCAGGTCCCGGCCCGCGGTGGCACCGATAGGCGGCCGCCCCTCCAGCTTCCGAGAGTTTGGCGGCGGGAGTGGGGGCGTCGCGCTTGGGTAGGCGTGGAATAGGGGTTCGGGCTGCGCCTGTTTGAGGCAGGAAAAGTTTCCCCAACTGCGGAAGATGGAGAGGTTTAAGGCACCACAGTACAGAGCTTTTGCGCCGAGGTGGACCTGGACGGTGCCTGGAGCTAGAAGCTCCCTGGTTGCTGCCAATTCACAGGGCAGCCTTGGCAAGCCGCCTCGGTTCTCTGAGACTCAGTTTCCCCGAATGGAGGAGTGGGGTTTGGTTCCCGGGATGAAGCTGGGAGCCAGGGCCTTGAGAGCAGCAGGGCATGCTCTTGACACCGGCTCTCCTCCAACCTGTTCACTGCTCCCGGCCTGGGACACCGGGGGCGCAGCCGTGCGCATTCGGAGGGGCTGCAGAAACCGGAGACTTTGGCGGTCCCTCTGACTCGGCTGGTATTCCGGGACTTACCAGGACCCTTGGAACAGCCTGGGCGGTACACCCACGGGAAGCACGCCCCGCGGCAATTACGGGTATCCTGCCCGGTAGCAGCATCACTTTCGCAAAGTAGCCTGTGACTCAAACAGCTTTAGACCCAAAGAACTGGGCAGGGCTAGAGGCTCCTGTCCAGCTCCCTGGCCTCAGTTTATCCGTCTATACAGCAATTATGATGCAGCCTTCAAGCGGTGCGGAGAAATCCACTAATCCAGCCCCTCCGGCTAGTACCTACCTTGCACTTGGCCTCGACCTTTGCCCTCTCAGACTCTGGAGACGGCCTGGCCCAAGCTTTTCTGCTCCTCAAACACAGAGCCACACCCTAGCTCAAGTTTTGGGCCTCTGGCGTAAGCACCCCCAAAATCCCCATCTAGAATTCTCCCAGCGGTGACAGCCATTTTGTTCTCCAGAAGGGCCTCAGAACCCCCTGCTCAAGGTCACAGGCTGCTGGGAGCGCCAGGAGGTCTGCAATCTGCACCAGCTTCTCTCATTTCTTTCCTGGCCCCTCCTGAGGCTGAGGCAGGCGTGAGGGATCAGTGAGCACCCCGCCAATGCCCCCTTTTCTCTGATCTGCTGCTGTCCAGGATTTTCCTCTGCTCTGACAATAGCACCCTCATCCCGAAGTTTCATTTTTGTTTCTACTTTACTTTCTCTTCTATATTTTCTCTAATGTCATATCAAAGCTTCACAGCATTAAGGGGACACGGAGACAAATAGTAAGGTTCTCATCAATTCCAGCCACACGACAAACAGGCAGAGAGTGGAAGCAAGGAACGCTGTGACTTCGGTGAATTAATTCTCTTTAATGAGCCAGTCTTTCAATCCCCTGTCTCAGACTGTCTGCCTCGGAGTTCCCCGAGCCTGAGTGGAAAGCTAGTGTCCTCTGAAAATAGCCTCGCCCACCTTATCAGGGTCTCGCACCTTCTCCCTCCTGCAGGGCAAGGCCACTCCCCGCTGCTCAGCAAAAACACACAAACAGGGGGCGCGTAGGCAGCGGCAGCTCTGAGTAAGACAAGTGGACTTGCCGTGAGGTTAGGACACCCGGTTCCAGCTCCGCCTCTGCCACCCACTTAGAGCGACCATGGGCAAAGAGGGGGCGGGCAAGATGGCCTCTAGCGGCCCTGGAATCAGAAGGGCTTGGAGTTTCCTGGAAGACTTTCTACAACGAGAAGAGTGAAGGGCCAGGAATAAAACCTGGGGAACCCCACTCTGTGAAGAAGAGGGAAAGAGTGAGAGGAAGTAGCTTCCCAAGAGCCAGGGTAGAGAGAGGCTGGCAGCGCCAGTTGCTGCATGAAGACAGAGGGGACGAGGACTGTGGAGGGGCCACCAGGACTGGCAGACAGTCATGGGTGACATGGGCCAGGGCATTGCAGAACGTTGGAAAATGGAATCTGCTACTGCCTTACTGGGGCTAGTGAGCCCCCTGCCCCGTCCGTCCCAGCCTCAGTTTCCCCCTCTGTACATTGGAACAATGACAGCACCCATTTCATGGGGGTTGCTATGGAGATTAAGGGTGAAGATGCAGGGAGAGCCCTCAGCCCTGTAATGATGCTATGAGTGTGAGTGAGGGGAAGAGGCAGAAGCTAATGGGAGCTGAAGAAGTGGAGAGCGTGTACGACTCTTTACTAAAAGCTTTTTTGGATGAGAAAGGAAGAGGGAGGGAAGGTATTAGGATATGGAGACAGGGCACAGAGATGAGGCAGGTGTTTCTGGGATGAGGTGTGTGAGGAGAGCGACCAGGAGAAGGACCAGGAGAGGGGAAGAGGGTGAAAAGAGAATCTAAGGGGGTGCAAGTGGGAAGACTGAGGACCTTCCTTAATATCCCACTGAATGTCACAGGCTCTAGGACTGCATTCCTCTAGAATCAGCTGAGCACAGGAAGGGTAAAATGAGGCCGGTCCTAGCTCAGATTTCCGTGTCTCCTTGGCCGACTTCAGGATCTGCAAAGGAGGCTGATGATGGGCCTTGAAGGGTAGTTTGGCTCTGCCCTGGGGCCTCGTGACCTTGGCTTGCTTATTTCTGAAATGACATCATTTATCGATGACTCCTGCTGAGCTCAGCCGTAATGGCCCTTTCCCGTCAATGTTTTGATTTTTCAGTCTTACTAATGGACCAGCCAGGCTGCCAACATTTCTAAAGAGGACAGTTCACTTTTTGCTTAAAGCCAGAACACCAAGTAGATCAATTATTTGGCTGCGAGGAGCCATTATCAGCTTAAAGCCACAAACCTGTTTCTATGGAAAAACATGAATCAGATAACATAACGCTGGGGCTCTTGAGCCATTTTCTCTTTTTTATTTTGTTTTGTAAAATCCTCCTTTGTTAATCATGATAGGACATGATTCTCTTTGCTCTTAATGATAATGAAAGAATGAGCTCACTGAAGTCAACCTAGGACATGTCTGGAAAGTTTTCTTCGATGTTAGAAGGTGCTGGGTCCTTGTCTGATCTTAAAAGCTCAACTAACATGAGCATTTCTTTCGTTTCTCCTCCTTTTGTTTTACATCCTCTTGTGGCCGCCGCCCCCGCCCCCGCCACCCCCGCCACCAGAGAAAAACAGATTTGTGAAAGGGCTGGTCATTACTGTATATGAGGAGGAAAGTGGGAAGGAGAGGGAGGCAAGCTTGGCTCACGTGTCCCTGTCTCAGTACTTCTTCTCAAGGTCCTCAGTCCGAGCCACTAGTCACTCGGGGACTCCTAGGGCGGTGACCCCAGGGCCATTCCTGGAGATGATTCTGGTGGATGATGAGCCATGGCCACGGCGGTGTTCACTCTCCACTCCCAAGGGGACAGGGGAAGCAGAAATGCCTCTTGGTCTCATTCGGCCTCCCTTCGTGGACTTATGTCTCCTGCCTGCCCTTAAATGTTGATGCCACCCTTAACCCTGTTCTCTTTTCATCCCATACCCCCCTACTATCCCATTCACGCCTATGGCTCCAAGCAGCTCTATAAACTAACAGCTCCCAAAGTCATGGGTCCAGGTAGGACTGCTCTCCTCCTGTGACCCCTGCCAGCTGGACAAAGCCAACAGAGCCTCCCAAGGGCACTTCACAGCCAGCAGGCCCAAGCCTCAGGCTCGTCATCACCCAGTCCTCCTCTGGAGTCCCCCGCTTGGTCAGCAGCAACACCATTCACACAGGCACCGAGCCAGCAGCCTTCCTTCCTTTGGCCACCCCATTTATTTGGTCACAAGTCCTGCCATTCTACCTTCCTTAATATCTCTTCTACTCGTCCCTATCCCCACAATGACCACCCTAATCCATTACTTTGCTGTCTCTCCACTGAGCTACCCTCAGAGCCTCTTGAAAGTCTGCTGCCTCATGCCTTTTCCCCTGTGCTGCTATTGAAAGATCTCGGTGCGACATGGCTATGGCTGCGCTGTTCTCTCTCCCTTGAGGGACTCCCTATTTCCTACCAGATTCCTTAGCATTGAACACCAGGCCCATCTAAGATCTGGCCCCAAGTCACCTCTCCAAAACCATCTCTTGGCATTCCCACAAATTCTTGTCATGGTGCGAGCATACAAACCTTCATGCCCCTGTCTCTGCCTTTGTCCCTGCCATTCCTTCTGCCTGGGATGCTGTTCTCTCCCTTCTGAACATGGCGAACGCGTAATTACCCTTTAAAGCAAAGCTCTCATTGCCTCACCTGTGCTCTCTCAGGCCCCTGAAAGGACACGGTGCAAGAAATGGCTCGGGGCTGCCTCTGGAAGAGTCAGGCCTCACAGCAGTGGGTTATTTCCACCTTCTTCTACCTTCCTTCCGTCTTTGTGTTCTGGAAAAATTTAGGTCCAGACAGGGCGTTAAAGCCCAGTGCCCACTTCCTGTCCAATGTAGAGACTCCCCACAGCACCGGAGCTACAGGTGCCTGTGTCCAATTGTTCTCAGTGCACACTGCCTATAGCTCTGGGGGCAAGGGACGAGTGCCTGGCCTGTGCTGGCGTGGGAACCCGGACGCCCGCCACTGCCTCCATGCAAACCCAGGAAGGTTTAAAAAGTCAGACTGGCTGGCACCATTGCGTGCATTTGTTTATGGGTTTTATACTGCATTCCACTTACAGCATTAGAAGGGT